AGGCACACGCCATCAGCCTGGCTCCTTTTTTATTAATGTTTTGTAGAGACAGGATCTCCCTATATTGCCCAGGCTGGTCTCAAACTCCTGGACTCAAGCAAACTGCCTTGTCCTCCCAAAGTGCTGGGATTATAGGCATGAGCTACCACATTCAGCCTTGGTTTGTTTTTAATCCACACTTCTTGTATAACTGTTAAATATTGGTTCTCTGCAGTCCAAAGTTTGAAATTTCACTCCTTTGATGAACTGAAGACTGGTTTTATTTTGTTGACTACAAAGTTTATACAAAATTTCCCAATGAGAAAATAGGCAATTTAAATCCTTATTGAACAATAGTGATAACTACATTGTTTGTCCAAATTCAGACAAGGAGAAGGAGAATGCTAACAGTGTATAAACCAGTGTAAATTGTTTGGATGTCCTCTCATGTTGCTGCATCTACTTTAAATTATGATTTCAAATTCAGTGGTCCCTCATTTTCTACAAACGACCAAAGTTATATGAGTTCTTATGACTTTGGTATACTTTCTTGAGATTTTACTCTCTGGTTATATATTATTCTTTCAATACCCAAGTCATATTTTAAGATATGTGAGAGCAAAAATAAATTATGCACATATATTACCTATCAAACTACAGCTTCAAAAATTGATATTTGGTTACTAATATTATTTTGTCTCTGATTCAGACTCTACCAGTTTTCATCATGTAATTTGTTGAATGATGATCCTAAAGCTTAAAAACATGCCTGTCATTCTTCAACAAATAGGTCAGTTGTCTCAAAGTCTTTTTGAAACACTTAAGCAAAGAATATTCACTGCATATTACTTGTAGGGCCGTGACATTAACATACTTTAAGTTCATTAAAGAAGATTTTCCTCTCATAAATCTGTCCTGGCTGTGTCTAATCAAATTACTTTTTTCAATATCATATGTTCTTCTCCAATACTGTTTCTAGTATGTACCTCATACACAAAGTTAACTATCTTGATTATAATTGACTGCTGGCAGAGTGATTTACTTTTAAATAAGAGGAGTAACCGTGTTTTACTCATAATTTTTCAGGAAATATAGCTTTTTTACCATGAAGGAACAAGAAACCAAAACTTAGCATTATTTTTCCACGTTGAAAATTAAAATTACATAGATGAATATTGCTTAAATGCTAGCATGTGACCAAAGGAATCATATTTGCCTTAAGTAGCAAAAAGGTTAAGATACTACCTGCATTCATACTTAATTTTTCTTGAGATTCATCACAGAAGAAATGAAAACACTATTGATTCCTAGCTCTTGTCTTGAACATCTAAAGTTCTCTTAACTAATAACTTTTTATTTAGAATTATATCTTTAATTGTAGGATCTCTAATTGCTTTGAAACCACTTAAAACATTGTCTTTTTATATAAAACCTTCACATTTGTGAAAAATGAGAAAAGAGGAATTTAAAAACATTTATAACGTGACATAAGCAGGCACTTTTCAGAGCTGGAATTACAAATGTACATCCATCCCTAAGCTGTTCAGGTTGTCAGCCATACAGCTTCCCTATCTGCTGCTGCTTAGAGCTGAAACTTGTGGCATCATGGTTAATGTTTTGACAGATTTTATCATAAACCTTGCTGTTATAAATTTGCCTTGAGCCAAAATTTAACATGTTGTAAGCTCAGAAACAGTTTTTACTGTTGGTAATCCAGAAAGGGAAATAATTATGTTCTTTTGTATGATAGGAGTATAGAGTTTAACTCCTTAAAGGTTATACATTGCTTGAAATTTGGGACGAATTCTCATGCTATATGTTCAGAGCCTCTCAGTCGTCAATAAAGCCATACATTAACACTTTTGGGACTATTGCAGAGGAGAATCTACCAAGGGAAATATTATGTAGCTTATATATGCTCACTAAATTTTATAGCCAAAATAATATCCCTAATTTTTTTAAATGTAAAGGTCCTTTGCCTTAGTATATGGAAACAAAAATGCAAAATTCTTGGAATAATCACTTTCTTTCCACATGATTTATCCAGAATGCTGTTTAGTAAGCCCCTATTTTACAGTGTCTGTCATCTATTCTTTCATAACTACTTAGAGTATTTTATTAAACATGCTCCCAAACATTGCTATTTCTAACAGCCTGTAGATCTAGATTTTTTTTTCTCCCTAAAACATCTTCAATGACCTTGACCATTAATATTTACTCATAAATGGATTTGTACACAGGCTCAACCATAGCACATCAGTGAAGACAAAAAGAGTTGTTACTCATTTCTTTACCCTAGAATAAATCAAATCAACAAATATTTATTGAATGTCTACTATGTGCAAATAACCCTGGACTGGTCAGCTTTTAAAAGCCATCCAACTTTTCACATTAATAAATCAAAGCATTATTATTTCAAGCATTGCAGAAGCTGCTTCCATGTCCTTAAGGTGACAAAGCATATGAGGAGATGGCAAGCACTTGGAGTAAAGAAAGACAAGGAAGAAAAGAGAATTCAGAGTGAAAAGAGGAGAAAGAGAGCTCTAAAATACCACCAATGGACCGCATCATGTATGTATGTATGTATGTATGCATGAGTTTGTGTGTATGCAAGTATATTATGTATGTATGTGTTTATATATGCATATGCATATAATGAAAAGAATGAGGGAATTTGGCAATAAATAGCATTTGTTAAAGTATAATAGGAATAGGCATTCACATTTCAGTCCAGAGTTTTGCTTTAAAAATAGGCTTATTAGTTTAGTGTTGAGTCCTATGATACCAAAAAATATATATATGTATATATATACATATCATGGTACAACAGAAAGATTGATCAATTTGGAGTCCCACATTCTAAAACCTGGCTTGCCCTAAATTCTATTATGGGATAACCTCATCAATCAATAGAATTATAATAAAAGAAATGACTTGTACATTGTCACTATATAAAAATATTATATAGCCCTAAAAAGAAGTTAATTTTATCAAAAATAGAAGAAGCTACTTAAGAGCTCATATTAAAGATTATAATTGCTATTGGAAATGAAATAGAAACTACCAATAACAACCACCAAAACTTGTGTACTTCATAACCTACACTATTCTGTGTGTTTAATTTTGTTAATGTATAAAAGATAAAATAATATACTGTCTATTCACATCAAATAATTAAATATATTTTCTTAGCGAGGTATAAAAGAGAAACTGGTGATAATTTCAAGCTTTGCCAAACAGAATTCATCCTGGCTATTTTGCACAGAAGGTATACATACATGTTGGCCATAGAAGATACTGTCATTGACATTCTCATAGGAGATATCTGGTATCAACTTTAAAATATTTGTTTAGGAGAACTAAGTTTTAAATATAAATTTTTGCCTCTTATTGGTAGGGTAAGTTTAATTTCTAATGAAACCAAAACAGACTCTTTAATCTTTTTAAACAGCAGATGTCTCTTTCCTAAAGTGCCTCAAATTATTTTCTTAATTTTTGTGTTCAAAAAAAACTGGCATAGCTCTATTCAAAGTTTATGCTTCTGTTATGAAATTGTTCATTATTAAAATCACCTTGAAGCAAAGATATCTTCTTATGTCATCTTTTTATTACTTGCTACTTAGCTTGTCTGGTTGTAATTTATCTTCAAACCATACCCCGATTGCTCTGTAGTAAATTTTGGATTTCTTCTCACATACAGTCTTTTCCTTTTTGGTAAAATTATCCCATTGGCCTTCTTAAACATAGTAAGCACTTTCATATTTGTGACTATTTATATTGGTTTGGTATCTTTCACTTATTTTCTTGGTGTATTGTAATTAATGTCTTTGGAGATGTGATCAATAAAATTGCACTTGGGTGATCCGATCTAATGCTATGTTCATGAAGAAACACTATCTTTAGAGTTGTTTCTAATTCTCACCTAACCTTTCCCTATCTTTTGACCAGGATTCCCAATACTGAGACCCTCTTACCTAGGACCTAGCCTGGATTCACCTGCCCCCTTGTGGTGTTCCCCTCTGAGAAATTAATCAATTTCTGAAATTTGGGAAAGTTAATTTCTGATTTTTGAATTTGGCATTACGTAGCCCGAGAAGAGAAACCTCATTGCCCTTGTCTAGTAGTCCAGAGTCAGAAAAGTTATCTTCTTTTAGCCACTGGCTAACATAAAGAGAATAAAGGTATTTTTACATAGCACAAGAAGGAACTTGAAAACTGTAAAGATATGAGAGAATCTTTAAAATAAGTAATGATAAAAATAAGTAAAATAAGTGATGATAGTCAATTTTGTCTAAAATCAATATTAGTGACCTGCAGATTGATAAACTAAATAAGTGTTTTAAAAGTTATCATATAGCAACTAAAATCAAGTTTGTTCTATGTCTGTGTCTCCATTTTCTAGTGAATGGAGAAGGGAGGCTGCTATTCTATTTTATTTAAATTTTATTTAGATTGCCTAAGCCTTTCATCAAGGGTGAATTTATAAATATAAAAAATAAATTAAATCTTGTATAATGTATAGTCAGATGTGTTTTATATGACTGAGGCAAATAGATAGTTTCCTTTTCTCAAAAGGAATTCCTTCCTCACATGCCACAGCACTTTTACTCTTCAATTGAAGTCAATAGAAATTGCACATGGAAAGGGGATGTATATTCAATGAGTGACTTTACCTAACCACAAATTCAGTGACATTTTGCAAGAATAAGGACTTCACAATTAAGCCTCTAGTTAATAACAACATAAAGACAAAAGAAGGAAACGGGAAATAAAAGTACTATTTTCATAAATAAACTATTTGTCTTTCTTAGGAGAGAGAGATTAATAAATTATTATTGTTAGCAAGATCCCAAGTAAAAGTTTAAAGATCTCTGTTTCTGTCTGTTAATTGTAAAATATTTTTAGCAGAAAACAGTTGTCTCTTTACATGGTGTTCTACCTCCCACCCTACCTGCACCCAAGCCTGGTTGGATTGAGAAATAGTGATACTCTGTGGCATTTTAAATATCATGTCACCTCACCTGAGATCTAGAAGAAGAAACAGTGCAAGCTTTAATAAAGCTGTTTGCAGGCCAACTCCCAAATTTCTAGTATTTACCGCTCCTTTGCAGTTCCTCTTACATTTGTAACAGTTGACCTACTAACAGGTTCCCAGAAACACAGATTCAAATTTTGGCAGGCTTACCTCACCTCTTTGTCCTTCCAAAGTACATAAATGCTAAACGGGTTCACAGTGAGAATGAGAGTCATTCCAACAAGACTTTTAAAACTAAGACCCTTCCTGCTCCCTACCAAGTTACTGCCATCTTCTCCAAAGAAATAAAGTTTTGTCAGTGTGCTCTTGGCATAATTTCTTCGGCCTGGATTAAACACAGGTGACTGAGAGTCTGCCTTATCTCCACAGGGCATTAGTCACTCTATAAAAGTTAAATTTATTATGAAATGCTTTGTTTGTGTTAACATATATCTTCTCTGGGAAGTTGGAAACAAAGGCCTGTCCTTTAAGACTCCATGTGGGGAAAACACATCCTCCTTTGGAATTTAACCTTAATTTGAACCAAGATCTGAGAAAGAAAGGTACTTTAGTGTATTGTTCCCTTGCTCCACCCTTCTATCCCCTTATCTAAATAGAGTTACTGTTGCTTCGTGTTTTTTTAACTCTTCCAATTCCAATCCTTGCTTTTCTGAGTTTAAAATTTATCCTGGGAAAGAAATATATTTATTAAAATAATCGTGGCAAACAATTATACTTTGCTTTTAAGAATGAGTGGTTTTTTGTAACAGATTAATTCTGATATCCTTAAAGTTAAGTAAATGCACAGCCAGTTCATATTTATACATCTTAATTGTTCATTTTGTTGTTTTAAGGTACATCATAAGGAATATTTTATTTCCTAAAAATTTTATTTTCTGCATATCTTCTTTATGATTCTCTTGCTAGCAAATATTGTCATATATGCATAGTTTACACCTTATTAGAAATAAAAAAGAATTTGAAGTAAGAAAAGTTTCCATTAGGAACGATGATGAGGTACTATTTAAAAGACCAAATTTTGATCTCTGTTTTTCTTCAGTCTGTTGTAAAGTCTTTGTAAGGGCTTCCTATGTATCTAAAATCCAGAGATGCTCCAACACTCCTTTTCAAGAGCAAAAGCAGAACCTCCATTACTGCTACCCCAGCATAACAGCATGGTTGTTTGTAAGCATCAAAGAAAGCACTTCAGAAAGAAAATGTTTGACATTTAATTTGACATTTAACAAATATTGTTTATATAAATTATTAATGTCTTTTAATACCATCTACCAACAAATGGGTAATTATCCAATGATTTTCTTTTATTGACTTTTGTTAAAGAAAAATCAGAAACTAAATTCAAATATGTTTAGATATTAATTTATTCTTAAAAACTGAACATAGTTTTAAAATATACCTGTATTTAACCCCTCTCAAAATAACTATCCTCAGCATTATTAAATTGAAAATCTCATGGCAAAAACAAAAATAATAGTAGTTTTAGAACAAAGCATTTACAGATTCCTTTGGTCACATATTATATTATCTCATAGTATATTTTATTTAAATGATAATATTGAAATTAGTTTGATAGACATGTTTTTAAAATATGGAATATATATAAATAATGCATTTGGGCAACTGGGACATTTATCACAAGTAATACCAAATCAAGATATCATTGTTTTCAGACGTCAGCTCCACCTACATATATTGGTTCCACCCCAAGGAACCCTCATATAATGATCATTGAAGCTTAGTCTCTACTATTTGTTAGCACATGATTATACACTGTCATTGTTATTTCAACTCACAGTATGTATCAAGTTTCTTCATGGAAATTATAAACTCAGATGGGGTACTAATGAACTGACAACATGAATACTTTACCTCTTAGATTCTAAGTTTTTGGTTGTCTTGAACTTTGTACTGTATTAGATACTAATTTGATTTTTTTAAAAAACTTTCTTAAAAGATGACAGCCCTATTTCTCCTGGTGCTTGACTAAAGGCTGTCCTCAATTTTTTCCAAGGATTATCTGGATGATTATCTTCAGGGCATATGTAGATACCTGTATAGTTATTCATAGATAGTTCTACATATGATAGGAAGGTCATAGGAAGACCTTTCACCAAAGTAAAATGGTCAAAATAATAGATGAACAAGATAATAGGAGAAGTAAAGATAGGTAAGTATAAGGTTGAAAAGGCAAATGTTAACCAGAATTAAAGAAAAGGATAAAAAGTGTGAGCTTTATAGATGATAAGAAGAAACAATTTGGCAATAAAGGAGCAAAAGGAAGAGAAAGAACCAAAAATAACTCTAAACTGTCATATGTATCCAGGTTGGTAAATTCCAAAATAATTGCAAAATTGGATTAAAAAGAGATTAGCAGTGTGTATGTTTTTATAAAAATATAGGCAAGAGTGGTCTTCACATGTTAAATTTCAAAGATGTAAGGATTTGGCAAAACAGTTGTAATAATAAAACACTGAATTTCTTTATTGACCATGAGGAATATTACTTAACCATGAGCTATATTACTAGACAAAACCATGTTAGATAAAATTAGAAATAAATAAGTTTGTTCATGGGAGTTGTTTATTTTTATCAATTCTTATTTATCTTGGAATCTTATAAGAGACACTTTAAAATATTTAGGTAAATCCAAATAGTCCTTACCCAGTGAAATCACAACATGATAGTGTCACAAGAAGTATGGATAATGAACTATGACAATGGTTGAGGGGGGTGGGAGACAAGAAGACCAATAGTAAAACATTTTGGCTTTATTAATATATATTAATTATTTAATGATTTACAAATAATGTACAGTACAAGGAAAGGTAAAAGTAATGTTCTCAGAGGAAATGTTTCTATTCTAGTTCTGTTTGGAAGTTCTTGGGACAATTTGTGTTCTGTTTATATTTAGAAATCTTCAGTATTTTGTCTTGGCCACGTGCAGTTGCTCAGGCCTGTAATTGCAGCACTGTGGGAGACTAAGGCAGATGGATCACCTGAGGTCAGGAGTTTGAGACCAGCCTTGCCAATATGGTGAAATCCCATCTCTACTAAAAATACAAAAATTAGCTGGGTATGGTGGCAGGTGCCTGTAGTCCCAGCTACTTAGGAGGCTAAGGCAGGAGAATTGCTTGAACCTAGGAGGCAGAGATTGCAGTGACTCTTGATAGCTCTACTGCACTCTATGCAGCCTGGTAACAAAGTGAAACTCTGTCTCAAAAAAAAAAAAAGTCTTCAGTATGTTCTCTAAAAGTATATCCTGCAGAGATGATTGAATGAGATAATTTAGAGGCAGGTTTATTATTTGTATTTGTATTTCTTAATTATTCAGGCAATACTATACTGGGTGTTGGGGATACAAAGTTGAATAAGACATAGTCTCTGACCTCATGGAAATCACAGTTAAAAGGGAATTTACATAGCTTTAAATGATTGTAATATACCGTGGTAGGTGCCATGACAGAGATAGGCTCAGCACAGGTAAAAGGGTTTCCTGCTCTTTCTGTGACATTAAGGAAGGCTTCCCAAAGGAGATGATGTTTGAACAAAGTGCCATTGGGATTGGCAATTAGGAAGTCCTTGGTGACTTTAATGAGAGTGAGTTCTACTGAAATGAGAGACAAAATCCAGATAGCAGTGAACTGAGAGGGGAATGAAAAATGTAGAAATGCAGACAGTAAATATAGACCACTTTTCCCAGGAAACTGCCTTCTACCTGTTCTTACTTGCTGCCTCTGAAAAGATATAATAAGGAATTTCATATTACATAGCACAATTAAGTGCTAATTATAGCAATGGATTGTTTTCTGGGTGATAGTGAAATAATGGCATTCTACTTGTACAAGCTCAATAACATGAATCCTTCCATTAAGAGCGTCAGCACTTGAAGGAGGTTTATATCTACACCTTTGTATTATGAACATCTTTGATTCCCAATTCTATTTCTTTTTTTCTGCTCTGGAGCTTCACAGTCTCAATTGCCAAATACATCCCGATGAACCTTTCTCTTCTCTTCCTCTCTTCACTCTTTCTTATAAATTCTCTTTATACCTCTAACCATATCTCTTCAAGGGATTCAAATACTTTGTCATCCATACATTATCTTTCTAATGTTAAGTATTATTAACTGAATAAACACCAAACTTGTTGGTACATTTAAGGCCCTCCAGACTCTTGTTCCAACCTACTTTCTCAGCTTTAGCTTTCTGTGACATCCCCTTTCATGCTTCAATGTCACCTTGGGCTCTATACACCCTGAACTTTCTGGCTTCCAATTTCTTACACTGTTAACTCTACCTGGAATTGTCCCTCACTGCAATCTCATATCTAAATCCTAAATCCTATCTTACATTTATGGTTTTACTCAGCTGTCTTATTCTCTATAAAAGCCTTTTTATTATTTCTTTCCCTTTTTTTTGACAGTGTCTTGCTCTGACTCCCAGGCTGGAGTGCAGTGTCACAATCATAGCTCACTGCAGCCTCGACCTCCTGGGCTCAAGCAATCATTCTACCTCAGGCTCCTAAGTAGCTAGGAGTACAGGTGTGCACCCCCACATCTGGCTAATGTGTTTTATTTTTTTTTCCTCCATAGAGATGAGGTCTCACCATGTTGCCCAGGCTGGTCCCAAACTCCTGAGCTCAAGCAGTCCTCCCATCTCAGCCTCCCAAAAAGCTGGGATTACAGGCATAAGCCACCACACCCAGACTTTTTTGACCCTTCTACATATAAATAACTTTTCTTCTCAACTCTATTTTATATGTGCTTCGTCATTCATTCAACATACCTGGATTGAGCACCTACTGTGTGCCAGAAACTAAATTGGCCATATTCTCTTTTCGTTCTAATTATTAATGTGTTATCTCATCACTCCTATCACATAAATTCCTCAAGATCAAGGATCATCTAATATAATTCTATAAATCATGAACACAATGCTTTATCCATGTTTTCAACAAATGTGCTGAATGTGTTAATGAATAAATTAGTCTGAAATGGAGATTCATCCCTGAAATTTAATAAGGCAAAGATAGCACCCAAATCTTTTATACTCCCTGCCATGAATTTCTCTCCTGCCAATATCTGCAAGAATACTGTTTGATAGCTTCTAAGCTTAAATGTCTTTATAGGGCATTTTTAAAAAATGGTATTTATTTTCATTGTATTTATTCTCTTAACCTCTTCCCTGCCCTCAGCTCCACCATTCCACTGAAAGATTCCGCAAGTTATAGTATTAATCAATTTCTTCCACTTTATGTCCATTACTACGTCACTTAGCTAGTGACTATGCTACAATTTCTTTCTGAAAAGATTCACTAAGCCCCAATGACTTCTTTCTTCTAATCCACACTACATATGTTGTCTTTGAATGTAGACTTAGATTATATGACTTTTTAAATTTCTTA